CCCGCCCTTCGCGGCTTCCGGACCCCCGGTCACTCGGGCCGGACTTGGCTGCGGCGGCCTGAGGGCGACGCCGAGACCGCGCTCTCCCCTCGGCCCACTCGACGCCTCAGGCGCCCCCTCCCGCCCACACTCACCTCTGGCTGAGAGGCCGGACCCTCACGGCCACCCGCACGTTCGCCATTCCTCGCTCGCAACCCAAGACCCGCGGGGTCCAGCGGAGGCATCCCTCGCCCCGACTTCGAAGCGCAACCACATCCCCGGCCGTCCCAGCTCGCCTCAAGCGCCTCGCTAGGACGGCCTCGCCGAGCTCGAGGGGCAACCCGAGGGGGCGGGGTTTGTCAGAGCCTGGACCAATCCTGAGCCCAGTAGGCGGGAAAACGCTTGGCTTTCCCGCCCCCGTTCCGCCCCACACGCCTCTTGGAGGAAATCCCCGCCCAAGCCTCAGCCCAAGCCCGAGAAGGGCGGCAACCTGCCAGAGCGTTGACCAATCCTAAGCCGAGTTAGCGGAAGTTTGGCCCGCCCATTTCGCTCCGCCCCTAGATTCCCCAGGTGCTACCCCGCTGGAGAGCGCGCCCGGGGCGGTGCCACTGAGCACCAGCCAATCGCGAGCGGGCAGACTCGGGTCCGCAGCGTGGAATCTGTTTTCCTCTGAGCCCGCACACCTAAAACTAGGCTTTCGAACTCCGTCCTCTTGCTGCATAATCAAACAACTCTGGTAAGTATTGGCCAATGCTTGGAAGTTGATCAATTTGCCAAATATTTCTTGTTCGCAGAGTTGGCCTAGGCTGTCAATGCTGTACTTAAAACTTTGGGGAGTCGCAGCTCAGGTCTGTCATCCTAGCTACTCAGGAGGCTGAGATCTGAGGATCACGGTTGGAAGCCAGCATACACCCCCCCCCCGCCCCGCCCCGCCCCACCTCGGGCAGAAAGTCTCCGTGAGACTCTTTATCTCCAACTACTCAGAAAAAGCCAGAAGTAGTGCCGTGGTTCCAGTGGTACAGCGCTAGCCTTGAAGACAAAGAGGCTCAGGACAGCAGCCCCCCACCCCAAGGCACTGAGTTCAAACCCCAAGAACAAATACACACACACACATATACATACATACATACATACATAAAATCTAGGGGCCAAAGTGAAATAGGCTAACCTGATGATTTTGCAGTTTGAAGCAAGGATCTTTGAGTGTTGAGGATTGTGGAGTGTGTAAACACTCCAGTAATGTGTGTGTATAAACACTCTCCCAAATAATGGAATCTCTCAAGTATCCTAAAAGGTCCTAGCCACCCCTGGCTGTGTTTACAGCAATATCAAGCCCTGCTCTAAGTCTCTGCCTCCATGGAAATTAGAATCTATGCAGAGGGGAAAGGCGACATCCCTAAAAATGTAACATTGCCAAATGGTGCTATGAGTAATGGAAAATAAAAATCAGAGAAAGGTAATATAGTAATGATCTCCATGTATGTAGGAAAAGTTGAACTTCAGGAAAGCCCTCACTGATAGGGTAGCATGTGAATTGACGTCAAGAAAGAGAAGTAATGGGGCTGAGGATGTGACTTGCCTAGTATGCATGAAGCCCTGGGCTTGATTCCTCAGTACCACATAAACAGGAAAAGCTGCAAGTGGTAGAATGCTAGCCTTGAGCAAAAAGAAGCTCAGGGACAGGGCTCAAGCTCCAGGAGTGGCCAAAAACAACAACAACAACAAAAAAAAGTGAAGTAATGAAGGTACTCAGTTAATTTAACTTGTCTTTCGAAAGTAAGCTCCTATTAAAACAGGCATTACTCTAAGCTCATAGAAATTAAGCAAAACCTCATGGAGCTGGGTGAGAGAAACTAATGATAAAAGTAAAACAACTTCAAATGTCCACCAGATTAGCTAAGGAGAAAAGAGTGGAAAAGGGAATAGGAAACAAGCAAGAGAGGGTTATGAAATTTTCAGTATGATCAGGAGAATCCTCAATGAAAATTTGAATGAGGCGGGAAAAATACACAGGATGCAAAGAACTGCCACACAACTTGGTGTGGCAGTCAACTGTAATTTCAACACTCAGGAAGCAAGGGGATCATGACTTCAAGGCCAGTGTGAGTTACCTACCAGACCTTATCTCAAATGGAAAAAAAACAAACAGCAGAAACTTTAAGGGAATATGAAAGAAGCCAGTTTAGATAGAATATAGTGACAGAAGGAGTATCATGACAGTAGCAGTGAAGCATGGATTGGGCATAACTCAGAGGTAAAGCACTTCCCTAGCAAGCATGAGGTCATGAGCCTTGCTAGCAATAAACAAAAAGGGCCAGTGGTTGTAGTTCAGTGATAGAAGGGATACCCTGGATGCAAAAGGCACTGGACTTACTCTCCAGCACCACTAAAACAAGCAAACAACACATGAAAAATAACAGAGAAAAGGTATAGGGCAAAATCTGGGGGAAAATGAGGCACAGTTCTAGTCTTCTTGCCAGTACAATCATACAGACATGCTTCAGTCTCCAAAGTATGAAATGTTCCAATCAAAGAAAACTTAGTTGGAGATGCGCTGCCCAGGATTTTTAAGGACTAGTCATATAGGTACCTTTTACCTAACATGCACCCAAATTCTACATTTCTAGAAGGAAAGTAAATGTTTAGCACATACCACACTGTGCAAAGGGCTTGCACACTTTGAACAACTCCCCAGTGAGAGTGAGGGATTCTCCTGCTATCTAAGTTCCCATATGTTTCAGAGAAGGACTGATCCTGTAAACAGGCTCTTTAAAGGATATTAGTCTTACTATATTATTCTCTGTACACTGAGTGTCATTCCCACAGAAAAAATCACCATAAGCATTTTTAAATTTTGGGAATTGCTTCAGATTCAGAAACATGCACTTAAAAAAAAAAAAAAAAGACAGCTGGATGCCGGGTGGCTCACGGCTGTAATCCTAGTTACTCAGGAGGCTGAGATCTGAGGATCACAGTTCAAAGCCAGCCCAGGCAGTAAAGTCTGTGAGACTCTTATCTCTAATAAACCAGAAAACTGGAAGTGGATCTGTGGCTCAAGTGGTAGAGTGTTCCACCTTGAGCTGAGGTACAGTGCCAAGGCCCAAAGTTCAAGCCCCATGACTGACAAAAAAACAAAACAAAAAAAGACAATAACTCACATAAAAAGTTGAAATATAGGGCTGGGAAGGTGACTCAGTGGTAGAGCGCTTGCCTTGCATGCATGAGGCCCTGGGTTCGATTCCTCAGTAACACATAAGCAAAAAGAAAAAAGCCGGAAGTAGCGCTGTGGCTCAAGTGGTAGAGCACTAGCCTTGAGCTCAAGAGCTGAGGACCAGCGCCCAGGCCCAGAGTTCAAGCCCCACAACAGACAAAAAACAAAAAAATTGAAATATATTTTTGCAATCACAACTGAGACACTAAGAAAGGAAGTCAAAGTCACATTAGGATATCCCTTTAGGCTACTTTTAAGATACTGATTAAAAATTCAAGTGTATATCTTACAAAACTGAAGAGAGTGAAGAGGAAATGGGTGGGTAGGAGGAGGGATGGGTGAAACATGACCTAGATGCATTATATTCATAAACTACTTTGTTAAATGGCAACTCCTGTGTATAACTACTTAAAGATAAATAAATAAATCACCCATAAAAAAGACAAGAAAAGGGAGGGGGGAGGCTGGGAAGGGATGTGAAGGGTAAACAAAGGAGGAGGCTGCAATTCTTGGTAAGAAATGTACGCATTATCCCGCCCATGTAATTGTAACCCCTCTGTACAGTATGTTCACAAATAAAATTAAATTAAATTAAAAAAAAAGACAAGAAAAATATCTCCTGGGCAATGGTTAATTTACTTTTTAATTATCATAACTAAGTTAGATCTCCATTACTGAAGAACAGAATATAAACATATAGAAAAAACAAAATGAACCTAAATCTTGGTATTCCAATATTTCCATCAGCAAATTCTATAAATATCCATGTCACAGTTAACTAGAAATTGACCTTGTATGACTATATACAATTCAGCAAAAATAAAGTGGATAATCACTTGGTATCAATACTTTGAGCATGAACTTTAGAAGTACAAGATACTATAAAGCCAGTTTATGAAGATGATTTTCTTCAGCTAGTACTTTGGGGATACTCAAGGAAACTTCCTTTTGTTTTTCTCGCCACTTGAGTATATTTTCTGCAAGTTCTTCTGTCTCATTCACCAAAATGTCCATCTTGGCTAAAGCCTGGCTCTGTAACATTAGAAAGAAAAAGAAGAGAAATCTTATTTATCATTATTTCATTATCATATCCCAAATGGTGAATTGAAACCCTTTTCTACAACTATTTAAAGATAATGAAAATATGGAGTTTGAAACTCTGTTTCTGCCAGGAGCTAGTGGCTCACACTTACAATCCTAGCTACTCAGGAGGCTGAGATCTGAAGGTCGAGGTTCTAAGCCAGCCCTAAACCAGCCTGGGTAGGAAAGGCCATGAGACTCAAGTGGTAGAACACTAGCCTTCAGCAAAAGAATCTCAGGGATAGCGCCCAGGCACTGAGTTCAAGCCCCATGACTGACAAAAAAAAAAAAAAAAAGCCCACTTCTGATTTTAAAAATTAATTAGCCATAGTATTAACCATTAAAAAGCTAAATAAGCCAGGTGGGCATGGCTCATGCCTGTAATCCTAGCTGCTTAGAAGGCTGAGATCTGAGGAATGTAGTTCAAAGTCAACCCAGGCAGAAAAGTCTGTGAGACTTTTATCTCTAATTAGCCAACAGAAAACCAGAAGTGGTACTGTGGCTCAAAATGGTAGAGCATTAGCCTTGAGAAAAGAGCCTCAGGGATAGCATGCCAGGCTCTGAGTTCAAGCCCCATGACCAGAAAAAAATGTTAAGCGAGAGCTAGGTATAGTGAAACATGCCTGTAAAGGCTAACACTCCAGAGATGAAGACAGGAGGATTATGAGTTTAATTCTATTTTGGGTTACACAGTGAGACCTTGTCTCAAAAAAAAAAAAACCCAAGGACTGGAGTTACATAGCTCAGTGGTGGACTTCTTTCCTAGGCGTTGGGTGTGATCCCCAGCACCCTCCACCTCCACACACACATAAAACTTAAGCAAGGTGACTACATCTGAGAGTCTAGATTCAAGGGAACTAAAGATACCTAGATCAACACTCACCATTTTCTTTAGATTTGCATCTAAATGAGGAATATTTCTAATTATTTCAAGATGGGTTTCCAGTTTCTCAATAAAAGTCACAGCCAATTCCAGCAAACATACCATGTGTCTGAAAAAAGAAGATAAAATTTTGCTTTAGTTATGATTCCTTTCTTTTCTAACTTTAATTAGGATTTTTTTTGGGGGGGGGCAGTCCTGGGGTTTGAATCAGGGTCTGGGCACTGTCCTTGAGCTTCTTTTGCTCAAGGCTAGAGCTCTATCACTTAGGCCACAGTACTACTTCCGCTTTCTCTGTTTATGTGATACTAAGGAATCAAACCCAGAGCGCTTCAAGCGCGGTAGGCAAGCACTCTACCACTAAGCAACATTCCCAGCCCTGGATTCTTTTTTTTTTTTTTTCCTTTCCGGTCCAGGCTGTCTTCAAACTGAGATCCTTGAATCTCAGCCTCCTGAGTAGCTAGGATTACGGGCTCATGCGGGAATCATTATAGGACTCTTAATTTGAAATAAATGAATTATAATCAACCTAATGAGTCAGTAGGTTTTTGCATTCATGGAAATAATCAGTGATAAAGATTGTTCTCTGGGGCTGGGAAGGTGGCTCAGTGGTAGAACGCTTGCCTTGCATGCCTGAGGCCCTGGGTTTAATTCCTTAGCACCACATAAGCAAAAAGAAAAGCCAGAAGTGGCATTGTGGCTCAAGTGGTAGAGCGCTAGCCTTGAGCTGAAGAGCTGAGGGACAGCGCCCAGGCCCAGAGTTCAGGCCCCACAACTGGATCCCCCCGCCCCCCCCAAAAAAGAAAGAAAAGAGTCTCATGGAGTCTCTTTTTCTACTTGTCTCTATATTAACATGTTTCACTAAAATAAATCCTTGTTAAAATTAAAAATCAAAAGCAGCCAAGCATTGGTGGCTTACATGGCTTACACCTGTAATCCTAGATATTCAGGAGGCTGAGATATGAGGATTGCAGTTTGAAGCCAGCCCAGGCAGGAAAGTCTGTGAGATTAGCTCCAATTAAAATCACAGAAAATGGCAGAAGAGTCATATAATTGTAACCCCTCTGGATAACATCTTTACAATAAAATAAAATGAAAAAGAAAAAAGAAGGCAGAAGTGGCACAGTGGCTCAAGTGGTAGAGTGCTAACTCTGAGAAAATGGAGTTCAGTGACAGTGACCAGGCCCAGAGTTCAAGCCTCAAGATTGGCAAAAAATAAATAAATAAATAAACTATATTTAAAATTTTTAAATAAATAAAAAACAAAATCTATTCCTGACACTTTATGATACTGTTGTGGGCTAGGAAGGTGGCTCAGTGGTAGAGTGCTTGCCTAGCATGCATGAAGCCCTGGATTCCATTTCTAAGCACCATATACACAGAAAAAGCCAGAAGTGGTGCTGAGGCTCAAGTAGTAAAGCACTAGTCTTGAGCAAAAGAAGCCTAGGGACAGTGCCCATGCCCAGAGTTCAATCCTTAGAACTGGCCAAAAAAAGAGAGGTACTGTTGGCCTGCACCCATAATCCTTGCTACCAAAAAGGCTGAGATCCAGTGGATTGCAGTTCAAATCCAGCCTGGGCAGAAAAGTCTGAGACACTCCATCTCCAAAAAGCAGGGGTTGGAGGCATAACTCCAAGTGGTAGAGCCCAGCTGCACAAGCCAAGCTACAGCCCTGAGTTTAAGCCCTGATACCACAAAAACAAAAGATACTGATTACCAAGGCAGCTAATGAAGCAGCGGTAGAAAACACAATCATACGCCCAAATGCTTTCTTCATTATTATTATTTTGCTGGTCATGGGCCTTGAACTCAGGGCCTGGGCACTGTCCCTGAGCCTCTCTGTGCATGGCTAGAGCTCTACCACTTCAGCCACAGCACCACTTCCAGCCTTTTCAGTTTATATGGTACTGAGGAATCAAACCCAGGGCTTTCTGCATGCTAAGCAAGCACTTTACCACTAAGCCACATTCCCAGCCTTTCCTTCATTATTTTTAATAATAATCTACACTTTAATATTTGCAATGCTCCTTGGAGAAACAGCAATACAAACCATTTCCATCCTTTGGACTAGGAAATTAAGGCAAAATTTAAATTATTTGTACAAGACTTTGAGGCAAATAAGCCACAGAGATGAGACTAGAACCCTGGTTTTGTTCCTGTCTTAATCAAAACTGTTTTCATCTGTCCATATGAAACACTTTCAACACAATTTTTATATAGACGCAATATCAATTTAATAATAAATTTACAAAAAAGTCTACACCTACGTACCTTGCAATTTATAACTCCTCTATAACTATAATGATTTTTTTTTTTTTTTGTCGGTCATGGGGCTTGAACTCTGGGCTTGGGCGCTGTCCCTCAGCTCTTCAACTCAAGGAGAGCACTGTGCTGCTTGAGCCAGAGCACCACTTCTGGTTTTCTAGTGGTTAATTGGAGATAAGAGTTTCATGGACTTTTCTGCCCAGGTTGGCTTTGAACCGTGATCCTCAGATCTCAGCCTCCTCAGTAGCTAGGATTACAGGCGTGAGCCACCAAAGCCCGACTAACTATAATGATTTTAAAGGATTTTCTTTCCCCTTTAATGTATTGACATTAATACTGTAAACAAATACAACCAATAATAAATACATTGCTTCATGAATCATGTTACAAAACAACTACTAGTCTAAACCAAAACTACCCTCAGAAAATGCATTTCTACTTCTCCGTCTAACCTGTGATAAACAGCTTCCAGAGGTAAGTTTTCCTGGCACTTGGGCTTCAGCAGTCTTTGCCTCAGGGACCTCTTCTCTTTTAGCACAGCTTCTAAATGGCTATTCATGCTTTGCAGAGTCTGACACTTTTGAGCTACAGTCAACAACAGAAATTAAAGTCACTAATTTCTTCTTTGATTTGGCAATACCAACATCAAAAATTAATCACAGGCTGGGAAGGTGGCTCAGTGGTAGAGCGCTTGCCTTGCATGCATGAGGCCCTGGATTCAATTCCTCAGCACCACATAAGAAAAAAGAAAAAAGCTGGAAGTGGTGCTGTGACTCAAGTGGTAGAGCGCTCGCCCTGAGCTGAAGAGCTGAGGAACAGCGCCCAGGCCCAGAGTTCAGGCCCCACGACCGGACCCCCTCCCCCCCCGCAAAAAAAATTAATCTCAAGCCAAGTATGGTGGCACAAGTTGTAATTTCAGCACTTGGAGTCTGAGGCAGAAGATCACCTGAGGTCAGGAGTTTGAAACCAGCCTGGGCAACAGAACTAAGACTCCACCTTAAAAAAAAGTAAATAAAACTCCATAATTTCTCTTCTAAATAGCTCCTCTTGGCCAGATGTAATAATAATATTCATTTTCAACTACTTTCTCTTTCCTGCTGACCATCAAATCTAGTGCTAAATTCTTCTTGCACCTCCTACATCTCATTCAGTGATTATAGCCAGAGCCACATTCTTCATATAAAGGTTCTTCTATCTGACAGCTAACATTATTTACTATGCTATCCTCTTACTTATATTTCCTATCCTCCTCTTAACATGATTTACTAGGAACATTAAAAAACATCTTGCCAGGTGCTGGTAACTTAAGAGCTGATCACAGTCCAAAATCCACCTAGGAAAGAAAGTCCAGGAGAATCTATCTCCAATTAACCACCAAAAGGCCAGAAGTGGAGCTGTGGCTCAAGTGGTAGAGTGCTAGCCTTGAGCAAAAAAAGCTCAGGGACAGTTCCCAGCTCTGAAGGGGCGAGAGGGAGGAGGGAAGGGAGCCTTTCCTTATACTGTCTATCCCCCCCTATTTATGCAATTAGACTGACAGCAAAGGCATGTTCATTCCCACCACAAGGGACCAAAGACCAGACTGATTATCAGCCATGACTTCAGAGACTGGAATGTACTACCAAAAACTAACTGGAACTGAAAAGATCATACAAAAGGGGTTCCAATACATGTTACCTATCCTTTCACTTAGGTAGAGCTTAGGTACCTTCCAACACTGGCTTCTACTTGAATTCTGCTCAGGGTATCTCAGAGGTACAGGCATGTAAGTTTATATGCTTCTGCTAAGCTTGACAGAATGTGCACACCAACCTAAATATAAATAGCCAGGTAACACAGCATCCTAAATTCCTCAAGATTGAGGAATGTCTGAGACAAAGAGCGAACTGTAATGGGTCTGTGGGAATTCGGGTTCCTGCAGGAAATTCCATGGTGGAAGTTAAAAGTGGTCCCCCATTGGAAGGTGGTATAAAGTCTTTAGGAGATCTATGGTAAGAAGTACTTAACATAGTTCTCTTGGGATTCTGGTTAGTACTTAGTTCTCTTGGAAGGGTTATCTTAAAAGAATAATCCTGACCCCTGAATCTTTTTTTTTTGCTCGGTCATGGGGCTTGAACTCTGGGCCTGAGTGCTGTCCCTCAGCTCTTCAGCTCAAGGCGAGCACTCTACTACTTGAGCCACAGCACCACTTCCGGTTTTCTAGTGGTTTTTTAGAGATAAGAGTCTCACGGACTTTCCTGCTCGGGGTGGCTTTGAACCGCGATCCTCAGATCTCAGCCTCCTGAGTTGCTAGGATTACAGGCATGAGCCACTGGCGCCCGGCTCCCTGAATCTCTCTTGCCATGGGATCTTTACTTCTTGCCAAATGTTCTACCATTTAGCTAATTTAGATCATTGTCTATGCTATCTGCACTAGTGAAGTTAAACAGAAGACTTTCGTTAGTTATGGGACATAACTCAGAAAAATTATGGCACATCAAAATGTTACTGCCTGGTGCTTATTTATAATAATCCAAGAAGTTCTATTTCCAAGCTTACCCACTTAAATAAATCACTTACTCAAATAGAAAGGATGAATAACATCTGCTGACTCTTTTTCTAGTTCCAGAAGCTCAATTTCCAGGCTTTTCTACGGTAGAAACAAAACTAACATTAGCTCTACCTAGAAAGTATCCTGCAGTTAAAGGCTTAAATACTGATAAATGGACAGTCTTTAAACTAAGAACACTTTAATTAATTAATTAATTTAGTGAGTCCTGGGGCTTGAACTAAGGGTCTTGGCAGTGTCCCTGAGCTCCTTTGGCTCAAGTCTAGCACTCTACCACTTGAGCCACAGTGCCACTTCTGGATTTTTCTGTTTATGTGGTATTAAGGAATCGAACCCAGGGTTTCATGCATTCTAGGAAAGCACTCTACCACTCAGCCACATTCCCAGCCCCCAAAAAACATGTTATAAGATATCATTCCTGAAGTGGAAAGCAGAAGGATGATTTGTGCAATGGCCTGAGTTATTTATTGAAAATTTTCATTCTGTTATTCCTGTTCTCCTATAGTTCCCTTGTAGTCATCCTTACAACAATTCACTATTACTTGAAACTACTACAATAAACCTCTATCCCGCTATATGCTAGATGCTGTTCTAAGAGCAAGGGAATTATGTTTAAATCAATGCTTTAGTGTTATTTTGGTGCTGGGAATTAAAGCCAGGTCCCTGCATATAATAAGCACTTGCACTTCTGCTGAACTGTATGTACACCCCAGCCTATGATTTTTAAATATTTTTTACTGTAAAAATACTGTACAGAGGGGTTACAGTTAACATGAGTAAGGTAATAAATACATTTTCTATTGAGCATTATTACCTTCTTTGTTTTTCCTCTACTATCCCTTTCCTCCCCACCTCCCCAACTCTTCCCTCCCTCCCCAACCCAAGTTGTAAAGTTGGTTTTCAACAGTGTCTTGTACTTCTCATTGTTACAATGGGTCAACCTGTAAGATTTTTTTTTCTCTGTAGAAGAAAACAGATCAACATAACTTACCTGGTAGATTTCAGCTTGAATATTATTGATCTGCTGTAATCTGGAGAAATTCTCAAAGCAAGGAGCTGTTTTCTTGGACATATTTAACATTTCCTATTGGTAAACAAACAGGGAAAACAGCAGTATATCAAAAAAGTTTCTGTGAACACTGGGACAGTATGGCCATGGTTTTAAAGGACTTTACACTCAACAGTGCCCACAAACATGAAGAACAGAGCAAACAGCAGCTATGCATATATCATGTTTTTAGAATCTTTCACTGTTACAAATCTCTTGCTCTAGAGGCTGGGAAGTTGGCTCAGTGGTAGAGCACTTGCCTTGCATGCCTGAGGCCCTGGATTCGATTCCTCAGCACCACATAAGCAAAAAGAAAAAAGCTGGAAGTGGCGCTGTGACTCAAGCTCTAGCCTTGAGCTGAAGAGCTGAGGGACAGTGCCCAGGCCTAGAGTTCAGGCCCCACGACCGGACCCCCCAAAAAACAAAAACAAATCTCTTGCTCTAGTATTTTAAAAAGAAATAACAAGAAAGCCAGATACTGGTGGCTCATACCTATAATCCTAGCTACTCAGGAGGCTGAGATTTGAGGATTCCAGTTTAAAGCCAGCCCATGCAGGAAAGTCTGTGAGAATCTTGTCTCCAATAAATTACTCAGAAAAGACTGGAAGTGGCGCTGTAGCTCAAGTGGTAGAGCGCTAGCCTTGAGCACAAAGAGGCTCAGGGACAGTTCCCAGGACCACAGTTCAAGCTCTGGGATTGGCAAAAAAAAAAAAATAAAGGAAAAGAAATAAACAAGAATCATTTTGTACTATTTCCTAAGATACAATGCACAAAAGGTTTGTATTACTGATTGCTTATGGGAGGACTTTTGAAGGCTGAGGTTGTGAAAGAATTACCTCTGTCCTTCCAAATGACCTAGAAGTTTCTCTGACCTTCCTGGAGCTAAAATGCAACACTTCTCCCTCCTGTGGAATTATTTACTTGATTAATCAGATGATATAAATTACATATGAATCATTCATACTGTCTTTGTTCATATTTACTGTCTTGTATAAGTGAATGTTTGTGTTTTCTATAAAAGCTACTCCTCTTAAAATTTCTCATCCTTAGCTGGGCGATGGTGGCTCATGGCTGTAATCCTAGCTACTCAGGAGGCTGAGAGCTGAGGATCACGGTTCAAAGCCAGCCCAGGCAGGGAAGTCCGTGAGACTCTTATCTCCAATAAACCACTAGAAAACTGGAAGTGACCCTGTGGCTCAAGTGGTAGAGCGCTCGCCTTGAGCTGAAGAGCTGAGGGACAGCGCCCAAGCCCAGAGTTCAAGCCCCACGACCGACCAAAAAAAAAAAAAAATCTCATCCTTGGGCTGTGAATGTGGCCTAGAGGTAGAATGCTTGCCTAGCATGCATGAAGCCCTGGGTTCGATTCCTCAGTACCACATAAACAGAAAAGGCCAGAAGTGTCGCTGTGGTTCAAGTGGTACAGTGGTCTGAGCCCAGAGAGACTTAGGGACAGATGTCCAGGCCCTGAGTTCAAGCCCCAAGACTGGCCAAAAATAAATAAATAATATAAAACAAAAATTTCTCATCCTTATTGATCTGAGTTACACTGGTATTTTATGTTGCAGCTTGTTTCAAAATACAAATATAACCTTCTTCATCCCTTGGTTTCATCCTCTTGACTCTACTTTTTAGGTTTTAGTTTCTTAATTTATAGAAGCCAGAAGTAGAACGGTGGCTTAAGCCTTGAGCAAAACAGCTCAAGGAAGCTCCCATGCTCTGAGTTCATTTTTAAAAAAATTAAAATAAAAAAGCCTTGCTGTGGCTGGGTGCCAGAGGTTTATGATGATCAAAGTGCAAAGCCAGCCCAGACAGAAATGTTCACGAGACCCTTACCTCCAAAATAACCAGCAAAACACAAAATAACTAGCAAAAAAACAGAAGGAATTGTAGGCATGTCTAACATGGCAGATTGTCAGCTGATGAAACAAACCAACCTACCAAGCAAGAGGTCCTCAGCATAGTATCAACAGCCCTTCCTCAAAAATGCCTTAAGGTATTAGAAGTCTCTAACGAATTTTGTACAAATATATAATTATACATTTCTATAAATCACTGTTAATTTCTGCAGATGAGTTTACCTTTTAAACTTTTCTGTTTTCTCTTTATATCAAAATTCCTTCCCCACCCTAAAACTGTCACCTCTGCAGCTAATCTTTTTTCTCTCCTCACAACTAACGTGTCTCTATTTACGTTCCAGTCTTCTGCATCTTTTTTCCGCTAGTATCCTTTCTTCTTCTTTTTTACCTTTAAAAGATGCTCTCAGAGGGGCTGGGAAGGTGGCTCAGTGGTAGAGCGCTTGCCTTGCATGCATGATTCCTCAGCACCACATAAGCAAAAAGAAAAAAGTCGGAAGTGGCGCTGTGGCTCAAGTGGTAGAGCAATCGCCTTGAGCTGAAGAGCTGAGAGACAGCGCCCAGGCCCAGAGTTCAGGCCCCACGACCGGACCCAAAAAAAAAAAAAAAAGATGCTCTTAGAGCAAGGGAAGGGTTGACGTTGTCCAAATGGCAATGTACTCTTTACCTGATTTAGGTAACTGTAACCCCTCTGTCCATCACCATTATAATAACAATAATCTTAAAAAAAATACTCTAAGCAGGGGCTGGAGGCTTAGTCCAGTGGAAGAGCACTTGCTTGGCAAGTGCAAGGCCCTGAGTTCGATCCTCATCTCTGGCTCAGTGGTAGAGCGCTTGCCTTGCATGCATGAGGCCCTGGGTTTGATTCCTCAGCACCACATAAGCAAAAAGAAAAAAGCCAGAAGTGGCACTGTGGCTCAAGTGGTAGAGTGCTAGCCTTGAGCTGAAGAACTCAGGGACAGCGCCCAGGCCCCGAGTTCAAACCCCACGACGGACCGAAAAATAAACAGTCAAATCTAGCCGAAAGGCCATCCATCCCCTCAGATCCTCGCTTTCAAAGGACCTTCGTCAGAAAGGTTCCGGCAGCTGCCCGCCAGCGGCTCCGTCCCCTCGGCCCCAGCCCAGCGGCCCGGCCCGGCCCGCCCCCCCCCCTCCCACGGCCCCCACCACCACCTCACAGCCCAATTCTGTCGCCACCGGAGGCGCCCCGTTGACGACGCCATCGCCGCCCTCACCCGCACCTCAGTGACCATCCCTGAAGTCACCAACTGGTTCAGCAGCAGGCCAGCTGCGTTGGACGCGCAGGCCGGGTCCCACGGGTTGGGAACCGCCATGACGGTTGGAACGAATCTCCCGGGATGGCGCCGGGAATGGTGAAGCGAAGGCGGGGCCGGGGAGAACGCGCGGCGCCGCTCGATGACGTCACAGGGCGTGTCCGCCCTGGCGGAAGCCCGGGCAGCGCATCCCAGGCGAGCGCGGGTTCCCGGGGGTCTCCTGTCTGCAGCCGAGCCCGTAGACGGCGAGTTCTTCCCCCCCCGTCCCGCGCCGCCACCCTCCCGCACCCACCCCCACCCCACCCCGCTCCGCCCCGGCTCCTGCACAGGCGCCTGGCTCACTGTACGGCTGCACAGCACAACACAAACCGAAGCATCAGGACTTGGTAGTCCTGCCCGTTCTTTGCTGGTCACTCTTGGGCTGCTCCCCCCCCTCCCGCCTCCCCACACCCCGGGATCCTGGGATCGGAAGGAGGTGACAGCTGACCCGGCGCCCGTGTGGCCTGGACCCGAGTGCCTGGAACCCGGAACGGTGACAGTCACACTTCCTTCCCGCAGGGACCTGAGCCGCGGCGCCAGGATGGGAAACAGTGCCCTCCGCGCTCATGTAGAAACGGCGCAGAAAACTGGTGTGTTTCAGCTGAAGGATCGCGGGCTGACTGAGGTGAGTCTGGGTGTGGGGGGAGATGGGGTGACGAAGGTCCATCGGTGAGGGATTTCTCCACGCTGGTCAACTCCCTCTCTCCAGTTCCCCTCAGAGTTGCAGAAGCTGAGCAGCAACCTTAGGACCATCGACTTGTCCAACAACAAGATCGACAGCCTCCCGCCGGTGCTGATAGGGAAGTTCACTCTGCTCAAGAGCCTCTCCCTGAACAACAACAAACTGAGTATGGCTTTTTTTCCCCCCTTTTTCTTTCTTTTTGGCTGCCTCGGTATTGTCGGCTCCTCGTGATCAGCAGTTAGGAAGGGTTAGTGTTCTCTTATAAGCTCATTTTCGTTGTTATAAAACAGTTCAGAGGACGCAAAGATGCAGAGTATGAGAGTCCTTGAAGCTTTCTACCCCCGAAGGGGTCCATCCTCGTAGATTGACTACGTACTATAAGGATTACTGCTGGATGAATTTTGACTTGAAAGGCCTTTGGAATATGATGTAAAACTAAAGTTTTTTTTTATTTGGAAGGATTGAATAAGAGCCTTCCCCAAATTGTCCCATTGTGCCATTACACACACAAAAAAGAGCCCATTAGACATCTAAATAAGTGCTCTCCAGTATTTTGTTGGTACTCTCGCCTTTGAATAGTAACTGTACTGGTAAATGCAAAACATAAAACCGGCATGTTTTAGTAATTCTACATATATTAACAAGGGATTAATGCAGGTTGCCAGAGAGCTTATAAACTTTAATAAAGATATTTTTACAGCTTTGATTTATATTTTTTAATGTTTTCTTTGCTAGCTGTTCTGCCCGATGAGTTATGCAATCTGAAAAAACTAGAGACGTTAAGCCTGAACAACAATCACTTGAGAGAGCTGCCATCTACCTTTGGACAGCTCTCTGCCCTCAAGACCCTGAGTATCTCTGGGAACCAACTGGGAGCACTACCACCCCAACTTTGTAGCCTGCGGCACCTGGATGTAGTGGATCTCTCTAAAAACCAAATTCGGAGTATACCTGACACAGTGGGAGAGCTGCAGGCCATTGAACTCAACCTCAACCAGAACCAGGTCTTAAGCTTAGGGCTTTTTCGAAAACTAGCATGTATTTCAATTTATAATTGTTTTATAACCTCTTAACTGTAGTCATGCAGTGTCAGAGAAGATAAGAAATGCATATTCTATAAGTGAATTTCAATGCCCAAAGTGCCATGGAATTAATTTGGGTATGTTTGTAGTGTAGACTGTTTGGGAAAGAGTGGGATGAGTAACAAACAGGGTGAGATAATCTCAAAAATTATTTACTAAAAGCTCCACAAATCTTAAAGTTCTTCAGATCATGTCAACATGCCCCTATACATGTAGTGAGTCTTGCGAGGGATCTAGTATGGGAATAAGAAATGCATAGATTCTGAGAGTCAGGTATCAGAGTTTGTCTTGATCTTTGTTAAACTTACATCCTGCTTTTGCCAAAACAACAACAACAAAAACAGCACATTTAAGTGATAGGCTTTCTGGTACTAGTCAGTTTTATTGTTGGACAGCTTTGTTTTCTTTTCCCCATTATTCTGGAAGCTTATCAGGCCCAGGGAACTTGTTTTGCATCATCACTGGACTTCATACTTAATGTTTCTTATTTAGTAAACCTAGGATGAAATTTAAGCATATGCATTTCTACAGAGTTCTTGGTTTGGTTTGAAGGTGTGGCTCAGATGGTAGAGAACCAGCCAATGAGCAAAAGCAAGCATGTCATAGTGAGTTTGAGTCCCAATCTTGGATGAGGGGAGGGGAGGAGGGAGACTGGGAGAGGGAGAGGAGAGACAGACAGACAGAGGACAGAGAGAGGGAGAGAGAGATTGGATTTCCTTCCTAGATGGTCTAGGATGATCAGTCTATAAAACTAGGTGACTTTGGGCTTGGTGCATAGCTCAGTGATAGAGCACTTGCCTAGCCATGCATGAAATGAAGCCCAGTTCCCAGTATGGGGAGAGGGGAGACTTCTCATCAGGGACTGAGAGACTTGGAGCATTTAATCAGCAAAGGTGAATGAGTCAGTTACTTAGTATTGGCGTAAGCAAACAGTGCTATTAGGAATAGACATGCTGAGTTGATTGTAGTGAAGTTATCTAGGAGAAAATGTTTTGCTGAAAGTTGGAGATAGAAAAGTGGAAGAGATGAGTAGAAGGAAATCTAGGTATAGATTTTGAGGTCATAATGACTTACGAACAAAAATGAATAAGGTTGCTAAAAGACTAAATAATGAAGTGATTAAGGACTGTTTTTTTTGTTTTGGGTCCAGTCCTGGGGCCTGAACTCTGGGCCTGGGCACTGTCCCTCAGCTCTTCAGCTCAAGGCTAGCACTCTACCACTTGAGCCACAGTGCCACTTCCGGCTTTTTTCTTATGCTGTGCTGAGGAATCGAACCCAGGGCCTCGAGCATGCAAGGCAAGTGCTCTACCACTGAGCCACCTTCCCAGCCCTTAAGGACTGTTTTTGAAAAATACCCATAAAGAAGGGAAGCTAAGCGGGGCGCTGGTGGCTCATGCCTATAATCCTAGCTACTCAGGAGGCTGAGATCTGAGGATTGTGGTTCAAAGCCAGCCTGGGCAGGAAAATCTGTGAGACTCTTATCTCCAATAAACCACTCAGAAAACCAGAAATGGTGCTGTGGCTCAAGGTAGAGTGCTAGCCTTGAGTTGAAGAGCTGAGGGACAGTGCCCAGGCCCTGAGTTCAAGGCTCATAATGGACAAAAACAAAAAAGGGAAGCTATAGGTCAGAAAGAAAAGATAGGAATAGAAACTTAAGTGCTTAATACAGGAAGAAGGTTTCAAGGAAGGGACAAGTTAAGATGAAATGCAATAGGGAATGAGAATCATGGCTGTAAAGTGGTTTGTATTCACGAATACTGCAAAAGGTTGGCAGCAAATGTATCAAAATGTTTATAGTGATGATTTCTGGGTGGTAGCTTACAACTTTTTTTCCTCTAAACAGTATCAAAGTTTCTCTAATGAACATACAGCCCTTTTGTCAGAATATTTGTTTCCAAAAAGCCAATGCTGACCTTCAAAAAAAAAAAAGCATCTTATTTTTAAAAGTGGAGGAGGAGTAACAGAAGGTATGTAACAGAGGCTTCTGCAGAGAGTAGGCAGTGAGAAAATGGAGGTGGGAAAGAACTAGGACGACCAAGTCAAGATTCTTTTTGTTGTTTTAATCTAGTAAAATGCCTTCTAAGGCTTATGCTTTTTCCCATTATCGTGCTCACTGTTGTCTCTGCAGATCTCTCAGATCTCAATAAAGATATCTTGCTGCCCTCGCCTTAAAGTTCTTCGCCTGGAAGAGAACTGTCTTGAGCTCAGCATGCTTCCACAGAGCATTCTCAGTGATTCCCAGATCTGTCTGCTTGCTGTGGAAGGGAATCTTTTTGAAATAAAGAAGCTTCGAGAACTGGAAGGTTATGATAAGGTATGTATTGCCATGCCCCTGCATTTCTAGGTACTCTTCAAGATTCGAAGAGGGCTCTAAAAACTGACCACCTGGTCTTGTGTGAAGATGGTTTTCTCTATAGAAAGCTATTTTAAGGCATCTGTGTGTGTGTTGTCAGTTCTGTGGCTTGAACTCAGAGCCTGGGTGCAGTCCCTTAGCTTTTTCATTCAAGGGTAGCAAGGGTGGTGCTTCATTTGAGCCACAGCTTCACTTCTGACATTTTGGTGATTAGTTGGAGATGAGTCTCATATGGACTTCCTGCCCAGGCTAGCTTCAAACCTGATCTCTGATTTCAGTCTTCTGAGTAGCTATGATTACAAGACGTGTGCCACTGATGTCTTGGCTATAAAACATCCTTTGAATATGTTTCTTATTAAATTTAAAAAAAAATTACATGCTTTAAATTTGCCTCTAAAATTAGGCAAGCTTTTGTACACAATGGACCAAATCCCAAAACAAAAACCTAAGTAACAAATAGCCTGACTTCAATTATGTCAAAATACCCCATATGTTTTTCTTTCGTGATTTTTAGTACATGGAGAGGTTCACAGCCACCAAGAAGAAGTTTGCATGATGTTCTCCAGGACCATGGGGACCTTACAAGATGTTGACTTGGAACTTCTGTTGGATTCTGGCTGAGCCAAAGGCTCAGACCATTGTCAAGGAGATCTGCAGAAAGGAGATGACACTCCAGGAAATTACATTTCACTCAATGACCTTTCTTCCTTTTCAGGGCTATCTCAAGTAAGGAGACAGAGTCTTCCATTTTGAGTCATGAATAGGGCAATGGACAATAATGATCTTCAACACCCATCATTAGCTTGGCTTTAAAAAACCAGTCGCTAGTTGCTATTTATACAGCGAGGGGGTGCTGCCTGGTAACAGAATAGCTCCACACCACAGCTTGGAATTACGTTTCGTTTCAATGTGTGAGCTTCCATAAAGTTAGTGCCATTCCGTCTCTGTGTTACCACGTCCTAATTTTACGAAAACTTGTTATGGTTAATCCAAGAACTTAGGATTTTATCCCAGTCTGTCTGTTCAGCCGGCAGTTTATACTTGGAATTTAGACTGTACATAAATATGTGGTGATTTTTTTTCCTATACTGGGGCTTAAAAGTAAGGCCTCACACTTGCTAGGCAAGTGCTGTGATCTTGATCAAAGTGTGCTTTGTTGGAAAAGCACTAACACAACACAAAAGGTATTTCCCAAGGCTGCAGTAGCAAATTCTCTATTGCAGGTGCCTTACTGGTAGAAGACTCTGGAGAGCTAAAACTGTATATGCAACCCTTGTAAGATTTTAATAATCAAGATGTTCCTAAAGGTTTGTTAAAAAAAATCATGTCTTATTTCTGGTAATCTCTTCTCCCTTTTTGTATTTATAACTCTACTAATCAAATTACCTTTTAAGAAATCATTGCTGCAATATTTTAGAACAACCCATGTTAATTAGGTTTATTCTCTAAATAAGGAAAACACTAAATAAACAATTTCTAACTAACTTTGATGGGAAGCAAGGTTAATAGTCCTTTAAAGAAAGCACACAACTTTAACTTGTAAACTGTCCTTTGTTCTTTGAAAGTAAACTGATTGGGAAGGAAAGTCTCATGTTCTTGTTTAGGATTGCTGAGTAATGAAATGCCTTCATGTAACTGATAATAACCCTTCTGTGGTTAGGAAGCTATAAAGGTATATACTGTTTACATTGTTTTAAGAGTGAGTAGAATAAAGGAGAACAGCAAGGGGGGGTGAGGATACATTGTATGCATGTATAGAAATGTCACAATGAGACCCCTTTAGAAAACTGATTTTACACAGGAAAAAGCTAACATAAAGGTATAAAGGTAGAGGGGTTCAGACTGTCACTGACTGACATGAACATTTAGAAAGCTACCATTTTGTTCACTTTCTGACTTTATCTTACTGAAGATACACTGACAAATCTTTTTTTTTTTTTTGGTCCAGTCGTGGGGCCTGACCTCTGGGCCTGGGCACTGTCCCTCAGCTCTTCAGCTCAAGGCTAGCGCTCTACCACTTGAGCCACAGCGCCACTTCTGGCTTTTTCTTTTTGCTTATGTGGTGCTGAGGAATCTAACCCAGGGCCTCATGCATGCAAGGCAAGCTCTCTACCACTGAGCCACCTTCCCAGCCCCATACTGACAAATCTTAACAGTGGTTAAATTTAGCCTAAAGATATCTTAAGGCTGGGCACTGGTGGCTCACACTTGTAATCCTAGCTACTCAAGAGGCTGAGCTCTGAAAATTATGGTTCAAAGCCAGCCTGGGGCAGAAAAGTCTTTGAGATTCTTTTTTTTTTTTGTCGGTCGTGGGGCCTGAACTCTGGGCCTGGGCGCTGTCCCTCAGCTCTTCAGCTGAAGGCGAGCGCTCTACCATTTGAGCTACAGCGCCACTTCCGGTTTTCTGGTGGTTTATTGGAGATAAGAGTCTCACGGTCTTTCCTGCCTGGGCTGGCTTTGAACCGTGATCCTCAGATCTCAGCCTCCTGAGTAGCTAGGATTACAGGCGTGAGCCACCAGCGCCCGGCTTAGTCTCTGAGATTCTTATCTCCAATTAAACACCAGAAAAAGGCTGGGAAGGTGGCTCAGTGGTAGAGCGCTTGCCTTGCATGCATGAGACCCTGGGTTTGATTCCTCAGCACCACATAAGCAAAAAAAAGCCAGAAGTGGCGCTGTGGCTCAAGTGGTAGAGTGCTAGCCTTGAGCTGAATTGCCGAGGGACAGCGCCCAGGCCCAGAGTTCAGGCCCCACGACTGGGCCCCCCCCCCAAAAAAAAATAAACACCAGAAAACCAGAAGTGGCACTGTGGTTCAAAGTGGTAGGCACTACTTTGAACAGAAAAGCTCAGGGGCAGCATCCAGACCCTGAGTTCAAACACCACAACTGACCAAAAAAAAAAAAACTAAGAGCCTACTGTGTAATCTACATGAGGCACTCACTCTGACCTTAAATTTGGTTTAGTTCTTCTTTTTTCCCCCCCGGATATTGTTTCTTAATTTGGCGATGGGGACTGAGAGTTTACCAGTTTATCAGGGTTCATTTTTTTTTCTACACTTTAATGTTTATTGCTTTTATTGACCCATTAAACTTTTATTTTATTGCTACTTCTAATAAATCAACACTTGAAATTTAACTTACACGTACTCATTTAATTATTACCAATCTCCACCCTGTAAGAATGTGTGACCACAGTCCTTCACCACTTGGAGCTAGCCTTATCTTCAGACGCTTTTCCTTCACTCTTATTTGCTTCCCAACCTTACAATTATTCCTTTCCTTAAACCCATGGTACATTCTCTCTCCTCTCAGTGCCATTTTATTCATTCAGTCACCTTAGCCCTCTGCTAAGGTGCTCCTGCCCTCTGTCTGAGCCCCTTCGTAAGTCTAAGCCGAATTAACTCATTCTCCATCTGCCACTACAGCACTTCTTACATGCTGTATTTATATCTCTTGCTTGAACTGGACTACTTGAGGTCAGGGTCTATATAAAGTAATATGCTCAAAATTATAGTGAACAACTTAGGCTTAAATATAAGGTGATATATTAAGGGGTCTGGAGACTCTGATTCTAACTTAGTAGCCCTTGGTCATTTTCTTTTGTTGTTCCATTATTGGGTTCTGAACTGAGCTTCATATTTTTTCTTGGCTTTTATAAAAGCTCAAGGTTGGTATTCTGCCAACTCTTCCAGCTATTTGTTGGTTAAGTGGAGACAAGAGTCTCACTGACTTTTCTGCTGAGGCTAGCTTCAAACTGAGATATCTCAGCCTCCCAAGTAGCTAGAATTACAAGCATGAGCCACCAGTGCCCAGCTCACTTAATTTTCTAAGAACTTGGTGTGGACATCAATCTAGTATACAGAGAAAATAATCATGAGCTCTGGAATCAGGAAGATCATGGTTTGAACCCAAAGCTTACTAGCTTTCTGAACAATCTCCTTTCATCTAAATATGTACTTAGTGTAATATCCATGACAGTAAGAACTCAATAAACCATGACATTTATCTCAATTACAAGGCAAGTAGCTAGGCACCAGTGCTCATATCCATCATACTAGCTACTTAGGTACCTGAGATCTGAAGATGGTGATTCTAGGCCAGCCTGGACATTGCACACAAAAACTCCCAACTAGAAGCATGACTTAAGCAGTAGGACACCAGCTATGAACAAGCAAGCTGAGCAAAAGTGAGAAATTCTGAGTTCTAGCCCCAGAACAGGGACAAAAACAAAATCAAATTCTATGTGGTATACTGGGTTGTTTGGCTGGGTTTTTTTTAACTACTTTGGCCAGTCCTGTGTTCAAAGTCATATAACTAGTAAATGACTGGACTAAAATACAAACCCTGGTGGTCAGATTTCAGATCTTGTTATCTACTTGTCACTATCTCAAAAGAAATGGAGAGCAAGGCACTGGTAAATGACATCTGTTACCCTAGCTAGTCAGGAGGCTGAAATCTGAGAATCACCGTTCAAAGTCAGCCAGAGCAGGACTCATCTCCAATTTACCACTGGAAAACCAGATGTAGAGCAGTGGCTCAGAGCACTAGCCTTGAGCAGAAGAGCTCAGAGACAGTGCTCAGGCCCTGAGTTCAAGCCCCACACTGACAGAGAGAGAGAGAGGAGAGAGAGCGAAATGGAAAGTTTAAGGTCACATGCCTGTGATCTTAGCACGCTGGAGGCTGAGGCAGGAGGATTGAGAAAATGAGGTTAGCCTGGACTATTAGGGAGAACTTTTCTCAAAAAAAAAAGGGGGGGGACTGGGAAGGTGGCTCAGTGGTAGAGCGCTTGCCTTGCATGCATGAGGCCCTGGGTTCGATTCCTCAGCACCACATAAGCGAAAAGAAAAAAGCCGGAAGTGGCGCTGTGGCTCAAGTGGTAGAGCACTAGCCTTGAGCTGAAGAGCTGAGGGACAGCGCCCAGGTGCAGAGTTCAGGCTCCACAACTGGACCCCAAAAAAAAAAAAAAAGGAATGAACCAGTTTCTAGAAAGTGTTACAGTAGAAAATTTTAAAAAGCTTTAAATTATCAGCTCCAATTTCTAGTGCATTATGGGCCTAATTTTTAGGGTCCTACCTCTCTCCTTTTTCAGTGGCAGAAGCTTATAACCTGAGAAAAGTATGGAACCAGGGATGGCCTTTCATCTCTGGGATGGTCACTTAAGAATGGTTCACCTTCATGTGTCTACTTCTCTGGTGGGGGAGGAGTACTGGGTTGTCTTTCACCCAATTCACAAAGGGATCCTTGACCAGAAAGAGCTCTACTCTACAAAAAAGAACAGCTGTCATATACTAAACTGTTGGATAACCTGGTGTCTTAGCATGTACTCCTAACCAACTGCACTTTGTGTGTCCTTCAATCTATTATCTTTGGCCAGAATAGTGCCTATGAAAAGCTTTAAGAGAACTGAGGTGCCAGGAGCTGGTGGTCCAGGCCTGTAATCATAGCTACCCAGGAGGCTGAGATCTGAGGATCATAGTTCAAAGCCAGCCCAGGTAGAAAAGTCTTATCCTCAATTAATCAACAGAAAACAAAGTGGTGCTGTAGTTCAAAGGGGAAGAGCACTAACTTTGCGCAAAAGAGCTTAGGGACAGCACCCAGGCCCTGAGAACAGGCCTCACAACCGATGGCCCAAAAAAGAGCATATATGTGTTAAGTAATCAATACTGCTTTGCACATTTTTATTTTATACATTCATCTACTTCTACCTGCCAGACTATACTAATTCTAACATTGAGTGTTTCTATGACAAAGGGCCTCATTGGGTTTCATTTTAAGTATTATCCTTTCATCCCTTGGAAGTTCCTGTATTCGATGTATCTTCTGAAGTAAATGGGTTTTAGTTCTCACTCCAAAACATCCATTTAGTCACTAGTGTATGTAAACTCACGATTGAAATGAACCCATGACAAATCACAGAAAGCTCTGTAACTATTCCAATAAGAACTGGAAAAGAGCCAACAGCAGCTTTCTGTTGGCGTGCTTCAGGATATATGGACCTTTGCTTTATTCAACATGTTAAACATGAGCCAATGAAATTATTGCCTTGAAAATAACAGTCATAGAAACATGCTACCTACTTAAAAGAATAATAGCATAAGTTACAAAATTATAAAAATCAAGCAGTGGTTATTGGTTGAACCAGTCCACATCATTTGCTCTGTAGTGTACAGATTAGTTTTTAAATAAAGATGATAGATACAAAGTGGATTCTTGTAACACTGTTAAGGATCTATATAAACTTGATTCTGGACACAGATCAATATGCAAGGCAAACACAGTGCAATCATCAAGAATTACACCAAAGGCATAATTTTCCAAACCACTTTTAGTAAGATATAACAAATTCCTTTTAAATGTCTAAAGCTACATACAACCCAAAGCAATCTATTTATCTACCTGAGATCAAAATAAATTTTATCTTCCTATCTAAACATAATTCTTAGCACTGAGGTAAATCTGAATTCACGTGATATACTTTGTCAAATTT